TTCTAGATGAAGATAGCTTGCTGAGACTGAAGATGGAAATAAAGCTGCTAATTAAGTAAGTTAGTGGAAGAAGGCCAACCATCCACACATTTTCTTTCTTTCTTTCTTTTAACTTGTTTTGTTTTTGTTTTTGTTTTTCTGAGATAGGGTTTCTCTGTGTAGCCTTGGCTGTCCTGGACTTGCTTTGTAGACCAGGCTGGCCTCAAGCTCACAGAGATCTGCCTGCCTTTGCCTCCCCAAGTGCTGAGATTACAGGCCTGCACCACCAGACCAGGCTTACACACTTTTTTTAAACAGAGGAATAGAAGCATCATAAAAACACAATTTAAAGTTATCCATAGTCCCAAGACACTGAAGTGTGTGTGAAAGGCCCTCTTCTCTATTCAGTCAATCTTTCCCAAGGTAAAATTTTTGACCAGCATCAGGACCAAGATGCCCTCTGAGATCTCAGCCCACAGTGGGGTATCTGAAGTGAGGGAATCTGCCAGGAAGAACTAGAGTCTCTATTCCTGCAGTTCTTCTCCCACAATTGCCTAGATGTGCCAAGGAGCCATTGCGAACGCCTTTCAGCACTTGGCGGTAGAGCTGCTCACTAAAGTTATCCCCAAAAGGGCATAGGTCAGAGGACCGAACCCCCATGTGACAATGTCAAGGTAGTAAGACCTTTAAAAGGTCACTGTTTAGTTCAAGGCAATTGGTCCATGGGGTCATTAGAAGGGCTAAAGTAGTTGTTATTGGAACCCCAATTAGTTTCTGTGAGAAATACCGTCCTAAATGACTCCTCACTCTTTAGATTGCTCCTTACCTGAGACCCCTCCCCTCCCCACTCCCATTGCAATACCCTGTTCCCTTTTAGACTGTAGTTCTTCCCCGGAGCCAGCAGATGCTAGTATTATGCTCTTCGACCTCCCAAGCTGAACTAAATCAATGTTTAAAGTTGCCAGCCCCGGGTAACTTTGCTGCAGCATGGGAAATGAACTTCAAGATGCCTGAGTTCTTTCTTGTGAGATGCAGAAATCAAAGAGTGAGAACAGAGGTGGGGACAGGAAAGGAGAGTAGTTTGGAGAAATGTAAAGCAACACTAAGCAGGCAGAAAGAGCCCATGGCCCCGTGTCACCACTAAAGGCCATTTGCAAGTCCATGTGATCTGTGCTGCAGAAAGAATGTCCAGGTCCTCTCTGCCACCGAGGGCCACGCCTGTGTCCCGTGGCCTTACTGTAGCCAGAGTCTGTGTTGATGTCCGTGGCCCATCTTACCACTGAAGGCCATGCAAAAGTCCATGAGCTGGGCTGCAGCCTGCATCATGTTGCCATCAGGGGCTGTGCTGCTGCCAGGGGCCACATTGATCTGAGGGACCTGAACTGATACTGGCAGCCATGTTGACATTCATTTCCCAGGCTGCCTCCAAGGGCCTCTGTGGCCCTACTGCAGCAAGGGGCCATGTCCATGGTCTGTGCTCTCTCTCTCTCTCTCTCTCTCTCTCTCTCTCTCCCCGCAAAAAATCTGCCTTCCACTTCCTGTCCAGCTATTGGCCATCAGTTCTTTATTATCGCCAATAGACAAGTGAGGGAGGACAAATATTTACAAAATATGAGGCCAGTGATGGACCATAGAAATAACAATACTAAGATCTGGCTGGTACATAATGACCTCCATCACCGTGAGGAAAAGTTAACGTGATCATGTGACTCTTCACTAACCCACCCCTAAAGGATTCCCTATCACTCAGGACAATCCCAAAGTCTTCACAAGGTCAGGAGAGCCCTGCTAATCCTCCCTTCGTGACCACCCCTGCGTTCACTCAGAACTAGTCCTGCTAGCATCCTTAGCATCCTTACTGTTCACCAGGCCAGGCAACTCTCTGGCCCCAGGACCTTTCCATATCCTTTTTCCTCTGCCTAGAATACAGTTCACCCAGGTATCCATAACACCCACTCTCAAGCACCCTCCAGCCTCTGTTCAAATTGTCTCTTGTTATGTTTCGTCAACAGTGTTGGGGGTCAAATTCCGGGACTCATGCATGCGAGGCAAGAACTATACCAACTGAGTCATATCTGAAGCCCTCAAATGTTACCTTATTAGAAAAGCTTTTCCTGACTAGACCACCTCATCTAAAATAGCATCCTCCCTGCCTCCCAAAACTCACCATCTGCTATGAACTGAACACCTGTGTCTCTCCAAAATCCCTCTATGTAAGTAACTCCTAGCTCCCAATGTGATTGTCTTTGGAGACCGGAGGGGTGGGAGGTTCAATTCAACATCAGTAATGGGGTTAGAGCCCTTTTAAGAGAAGACTGGAACCCTCTCCCAGCCATGAGATTTTTCCAGCAAACAAACGGTGGTCTACAAACCAAGAAGAGGAACCTAAGGAGCCACCACCTTCATCTTGGACTCTCAGGCCCCAAACTGTAAGAAACAAACACCTATTGCTCATGCTTTCAGCCTGTCTTGTGCTGTAGCCCAAACCCTTCTCCCTGCCAGTCTTTTTTTCTTCACAGCACTTTAAATTACTATTTGTTGTGTCTTTATCTCTTCTCAGAAAAGAACATTTATAATCTATTCTTTGTTTTCTTAGAATCTGAGATAAAGAGATTCCCATCAATTTTCAATAAATATGTTAGATGAAAGACTAGGTTTTAGACTCTATTAAGTTGGTCCTTTGTGCCATTAGTTCAAAAGAGAGCTTTTCTCCACGAGAATGAAGGATAATTGGACTTGGTGGGTCATATTGAAGAGGAGGAGAAATAAGACAGGAAGTTAAAATAGGATGAAGAGTGGGGATAGACTCACTCTTAGGAGTTAGGAGAGGAATAGGGAGTGAATATGATCAAAATACATTGCATACATATATGAATCTCTAAAATTAATAAGATATATTATTAAAAATATCAAACGATAGAGCTACTGGTCACTAGCATGACAGTTACAAAACTATAAAATGAAAGACAATAGCAGTATGATTATTTAAAATCTAGGCACAAGATATAAAAGAAACCTACAAATGCTTTTTACCGTTTGTGGCCTGTGAAGGTAATTCATTATGAGAATCAGAGATTGGGAGGGCCACTGTTTATTGTGACAGGTTTAAAAGGGTTTTTTGTTGTTTATTTTGGAGTTTGTTTTGATCCTGTGGTAACTGTATATTTGAGCCTATGGAAAAAAAAATTCTGAACAACCCACTTTCTCAGTTCACTCCTTAGGCAAAATATGAGGAAATGTGGTCTATTTTATCTTTTTTTGTTTGTTTGTTTCTAAATGGCTATTTAAGCACAGATGACCGTACACACGCCAAACTGGAGCAGCAGGTCTTGCCACCTTAAGCAATCCACCTGCTACCTGATATGTCCACTCAGACTGAGGAGCCAGCTATGCCTGGGGTGCAACGCGCCTGGAGTCTTGCCTAGCTGAGTCCCGAGAGCAGGAAGAACACTCAGAGTGAACACTCAGGCTGAGAGAAACTACATATGATATATGCCATTTACGTCACTTCAGAACAGAGCAGGGAAAAAAGGAACCACAAACAATAGGCAGAGAAGAATCAACTGAAGCTCACAGAATTGTGCTCAGAAGATGCAGCCACGTAATGTGAAGCGTGGTGGGTGGTCCGCTTTGTGCAGTGTAGACCGTTTGCTTAAAGCAACCCGCCTTTCTTCTTAACTAAGTTTGGGTTAGAGGTGGTTGTCTGTTTCCACTGATAAAGCTGAATGCACAGAGACATTGTGTTTTCCAGAAGTGTGCAGGTACCCACAAAAGCTGGAAGAGAATGTGTGTGTGTGTGTGTGTGTGTGTGTGTGTGTTGTGTGTGTGTGTTTTCCAGAAATGTACAGGTGCCCACAAAAGCCAGAAGAGGATGTCAGACCCCCAGGGACTACAGCTCCCAAATAGTTCTGAGTCATCAAAACAGATGTTGGGACCTGAACCCCAGCCGGTGCAAGAGCAGAAGCTCAGCAAGTACTCTCAACTGCCCACCCATCTCTTCTGCCCTATTGTCACAAATCTCACCAAATTATAGGAGCAATTATTTCAGACAACTGTGTTCCGAACCTGTTCTGCACCAGCATTTATTTAATTGGGTAGCCTTGCCTACTTTCGTTTGTTTGTTTTTCCAGGCAGGGTTTCTTTCTGTGGCCTTGGCTGTCCCAGAACTCATTTTGTAGACCAGGCTGGCCTTGAACTCACAGGGATCTGCATGCCTCTGCCTCCCCAGTGCTGGGATTAAAGACTTGTGCCACTGCTTGTTTTGGGAGTTAGGTGTCTTTTTTTTTTTTTTTTTTTAATTGAAATAAAATTTTTCAGTAGTAACGTAGTTAGGTGTACTCTGAGGACTGGGGGAAATGAGCGATGTGTTGAAATACTCAAACAGAATACCCGGCTTCTGAACCTAGAATCCTTAAAAGACTGGCGGTTGGATAATTCCAAGAAAGCCTCCCTAGTGGACAATCACATCAATCTCTTGGCCCTATTCTGTTTTCTTACAAATCTAGAGTACTCTATGACTTTAAGGGCTGGAGAGATGGCTCGGTAGTTAAGAGCACTGTCTGCTCTTCCAGAGGTCCTGAGTTCAATTCCCAGCAACCACATGGTGGCTCACAACCATCTCTATTGAGATCTGGTGCATACATGCAGACATCCATGCACGGAGAGTACTGTATAAATAATAAATAAATAAGTCTAAAAATCAATCAAAAAAAAAATCAGCAAAGTTTGGAAGTGAACACCTGTAATCCCAGCACTCAGGAGGTGGAATCGGAAGGGCCGGGCGTTCAAAGCAACCATAATAGCAAGTCAGAGGCCAGCCTGGGCTATGTGACACCTGTCTCAAATAAAACAATCGAAGCGCTAGGAAAGAAATACTTCTAAGTTTGACTGTGACGTGTGCGCGGCTGAATTCTGGAAACCAGATGTGGGAAACAGCTCTACCTAATCGCATTCGCTGGCAGACGCTTCAGTCTGGACACAGGGCAGTGTTTGGGAGTGGGGAGGGGGGACCACGTCCCCGCTCAGCTGGGGACCCAGCGGAATTTGTAACCACCCGTGGCGGTCCGGATGGTGAAGGCTTTGCCCTGGGGGAAGGCCAGAGTGCGGATGGTGCTGTGGCTGCGGATGGGCGTGCTGAAGGAGCCGCCTTCCTCCAGCTCGCTGCGGCTCAGGTTCACCGAGCCGGCGCTGCAGCCGGTGCGCAGCCCTCGGAAGGCGCCGTGGAGACTGCTGGAGCTGCAGTCCTTGCTGCCGGGCTCCTGCTGCAGCCGGGGCCGCTTGGGGTCGCGGGTCTGCAGGGCCTCGTCGCAACGCTGGGAGATGTCCCTAAGGATGGCGCCCACTTCCGCGTCACCCTGCCCTACTTGTCCCGCTGCACAGAGCAGCTCCTCCAGGCTCCTCTTCGTCGTCGCCTTGACCTGGAAGGGCTCGGCCGGGGATTGCGTGATCATAAGCTTCTGTGAAAGAGAAAGCAGAGCGCTGGAGCCGCGCGGGCAGAAAGAGGCAGGAGCGCACCACACCAGGCACCACCAGCGGCCCCAGCACAGGCGCACTCCGACGTGTCCCGCGAGCCGTCCACTTACGTCCAGCACCGAGGCCAGGTGCCGGGTCCGGCTGGCTAGCTCTTTCAGCTGCACGTTCCTCTCCCGGAGCGAGGCGATCTCCTCCTGCTTCTGCGTCAGCGTAACGTGCAGCTGCAGTGGAAGAGCCAGCCTCAGAGAGAGAGGTCACAGTGCTGGGTGGACTCCTCAGGAATTAAACTAAGACCCTGAAGTCTCATCAGGACTGAGGACCCACGGGCCTTTATTCCCCTGGCAGTAGCCAATTGGTTCGTTTATTTTATTTATTTATTTATTTACTTATTTACTTATTTATTTATTTATTTATTTATTTATTTATTTTTAAGGAAGATACCGCTGAACAAACTGTATCTCAATTAAACTTTGGTGCCTTGTTGGATAGAAGATAGAAGTCAACAGTACTGATTTGGACAACAAGCCCATCTAGGTTCTCCCTCTAAAGTTCAACCATCCTACGCCCCAGTTTATTTATCTATAAAATGGGGCTAGTGAAATTGTCTAGCTTCTGTGTTGGATCAAGTGAGAGAAGAAAGTAAATTGATAAACACAGGGTCAGACACACACTCACAAACTTTACATAAGAACTGCTAGGGGGCTGGAGAGATGGCTCAGAGGTTAAGAGTACTGGCTGCTCTTCCAGAGGTCCTGAGTTCAATTCCCAGCAACCACATGGTGGCTCACAACCATCTATCATAAGAGCTGCTGCCCTTTTCTGGCATGCAGACAGAACATTGTGTGCTAAATAAATAAATCTTAAAAAAAAAATTGAAAAAGAACTGCTAGTAGTATTACCAGTCTGGCGGGAATCAAGACCAATGGGGCACACCTGTAATCCCATACTAGGGGAAACTGAGGCTTAAGGATCTAAGTTCTAGGCAAGCCTGAGTGTGCTATGTGAGTTCAAGAAAGGGACAGGGGTTGGGAACATAGCTCAGTTGGTAGAGTGCTTATGCTTAAAACCCTGTCTAGATCCCCAGTACCACATAAACCAGAAATGGCGTTGCTTGCCTGGGAGATCAGGAGTTCAAGGTCATCCTCTGCTATATAGGAAGTTAGAAGCCAACCTGGGCTCCACCAGACCCTATCTTGAAAAGAAAAGAGAATGAAAGAGGGGGGGAAAAGAAGGAGAGGAAAGAGAAAAGAAATCCTGGTGGGGTTCGGTCATCTCTATGTAACACGTTCAGAACCGGGATGGACCAGTGGAGCAGTACCAGCTGTGAGAACCACGGGGTCCACAGGAGCACACCCTAGCCATTATAACTCCGGACTTCTGCCCTACACTAGACCCCGTCTCCACCCCAAAATCCCTAACCCCCAGGGTCCCTACTTGGTTATTCTCTATGAGAGCAGTCCCCAGGGCCCTCTGGTTCTGGTCGGCCACCTCCTTCCAGTACTCCTCGGTTGGTGGTGGAGGCAAGTCTGAAGAGCAAGGTGGTGGGGGTTGGGGCAGCGGCGGAGACCCCAAGGCAGGTGGGTCCATCGATGGGGAGAGGCAGGACCGAAAAGATGACACATCACAAGGGGAGAAGGGAAAGTCACCTTCTGTCAGGGGAGGCGACATCAAAGAGGACGAATCTGAGAGGAAGGGATGTAGCTGGATTAGTGCTCAACCAGCCACAGGCGCAAAAGGCAAAGTCCACGATCCTTGGTGTTTCTTGCTATTTTGTTCAATGTACCAAGTGCTCTCTCCATACACCTGCTGGGCTAACCTGGAGGAAATCAGGCAAACCTGCTGGGGCCTAGAAGGCATACGAGGTTTGGCTCCTCTGTAGACCCTTGTCATTTAAGGCCTGTCGCACCACATCACAACACAGGGACCTCATTCCCAGAACTCACACCGAGAAACCCATAGGAGCCCTAAAGACCAAGTGACAGGATTTCCCCACTAGAGGGAGAGGAAGACACTGACCCCTTGGGGAAAGAAGGGCTGTCTAGTCTTTGGCAGATGGCTGGACCTACACCACTACACGATCTGAAGCATGCAGCCCTTCTGTCATTTAACCACAAAGGGGACCGCACTTGCCTGCGATGAGGTCATCCACCACGTCTCTGAAATTCTGCAAGCTGAAATCTTCAGTGTGCAAGGAGGGGCCCTAAACCAAACCAAGAGCATGAGCCAGTCAGTGCTGAGTCTGGGCAGAGACTCAGAACAATGCTAAACAGACAGACATCCTTGAAGGTTGGAAGGCTGCGCGCACTCTGGTTCACAGCCAGAAAACGCAGAAGAGGGGGCTTCCCTTGGGCTGGCAAGCTGGTTAGGCTGTAACCTAGGAGTTCTGCTTCCGAAAGTCTCCAGTTCCACAAGCACAGCAGTCCATCCCCTGGCTGTGGCAGCCCAGCTGGGTGTCAGACAGCCCATCTGAGCTTCCTCTCAGGTAGGTCATCAGGCAGCTATGCTGACTCCTTTCAGTATTCTCTGTGCACCTACAGAACAGCAGCTCCAACTTACCCTCCCCCACAGCCCAACACACACACACACACCCTTACCTCTCTAAGAGCAGAGATTGAGGCATTAACACCAGGACAGGTACAAAGGCCTCCAAAGCCTAGATTTAAAATGCTAGCCACTTCATCCATAAAGAAAAGGGGAGGGTGGGACTGTGACCACAGAGGCCCAGGAGACTATAAAAAGACATCCCTTCAAGGGGCTGCAGCAGCTGTGGTGTCTTTGGTTTAGTTTGGTTTCAATCTAAGTTGGAGTTGGCTTTTTACCTATAGTAAGACACACCTTCATGTTGCCTGGCCAGGATGCCCAGGTGCCTGAGAGAGAAGAAAATGGTAAAAAAGGAGGAGGTTCAGGCATTTTTTCTATTCTCTTAAGGGATAGTCATTTCAAGTTGACAATTTTTGTTTTGTTTTGTTTACACACTCTCTGAGTTAATCCTCCCACTAGAGTGGAAAGTAGACAGGGCCAACAGAATGCTTCCTCTTCTGTTGAAAGGGAGTCTGAAGCCAGGAGAAGATGGATTGCTCAACACCCAGGGGCCATCCTGGCATACCAGTGCCTGTTCCATTCTTCCTGACTACCCCATTGATTGTCTTTTTTTTTTTTTTTAGAATCCCTGGCTTTCTTGGAGTCCAGTTAGAAAGGGGAAAGGAGTCTCTAAGAACTATGTCATTAGACACCCACAAGAAATGTCTATTGATTCCACTAGTCATATATTTTGGTGGAAGCAAAACTTACCCTAAATCTAACTTTTTTTTTTTTCTGGCCCTATTTTCAAAATCCCAGATTCCCTCATGGAAGAAAGAGGACAGATGACCAGCACCTGCTGGACATTGAGGACTGTGGGTCAGGTGACAGAGGCCCAGGCTTGTCTTTCCTTACTTGAGCATCAGCTCTAAAGAGAGCTGAGCATCCCTTGTAGGGCAGTGCCACTCCCAACACAGAGTCTGATTCTGGTCTCCACCCGGGATGAGTCTCCCTGAGCGCTTCCCCAAGGCTGGAAAAGGCTGGGAGAGGATTCCTTAGAAACTTTACTCGGCTACTTCACGGTGCTCACAGATTCTGCAGGGTCGGTCCTGCAGTGGGCCTGTTCCCCATGGACCTTGTGGTCCCAGCACCTGCTGTTAGAATGTTGGAGTAGTCCTTTTCCCTATGGGCTACATCTGGATAAGACCACCTGTCCTTCTGGACATGTCATGCCCGACCAAAGAAGACTCAAGTCCCTGGCCTCTGAAGCACCAGGCCCTGAGAAGTTCCATTCTCTGCCTCGGATGTGTCGGCAATGGCAAGAGGTAGAAATCGGATGAATTAGGAAGACAGGTTTAGAGGGAAAGGGGATGGGGGAGGGGAGTCTCTCTTCCCCAAGATGGTAAGGGACTAGAATGTTGGGGATGGGGCAGGGTCAGAACAGGACTTCTAAAATGGCCAGCTGCCGAATGTCCATCTCTGCAGAGGGAATGTTGTCCACCTCCTTGTTTACAGAATCCTTTGTCCTTTCCCCCAGTGACTTCCATACTCCTTTAGTACGCACGAACTACGTACAAATAGTTCCTGAGTGGCCAGAAGTGCCTGACAAACAAGGCAGTTATCCTGTGAGCTCGTGCACACTCACACGGTTCTTTAGTCCAATTGCCCTCTTCAGATGAACGACAAGGGGCCCTTAAGTAAAGGTTAGCCAGACACGCTCTGGAAATGAGAATTTAATAACATACTAGGGCAGAGGAGAAAACTGGGACCTGGGAGGCTTGACTTCCCTGCACTCTGCTGAAAGTACCCGTGCTCCCTGTCCATCCGGAGACCTTAGAGGAAATAAACCCACTACTTTTCCCGTTGGGTCTTTAAGTGGCTTAAGACGTACCTGCGCGGCGGAAGAATCACCAGCAGGAGGCGCTTCAGAGCCGAGCAGCGAGGTGCAGTCTGCGAGGTCCTGCAGGTCTATGGTGGTGAGGGCTGCGAGGGGAGATCGGAAGACAGGCACCCGGCGAACCCTAAGCCTCTCTGCTGGGTCGCCTCCGGGACCCTCAACCAGGCCCTCGGAGCCCGGGGGGGGGGGGGCGGAGAGGGGCTGCGGACCGCGAGCTCCTCACCCACCCAGCGTGGATAACCGAGGGGTCGTGCAGGCGCCTCCGTGCTCACCTGGCAGCGCAGCGGGCTCGGCTTCAGGGGGGTCCTCGTACACCGACACTTGGCTGCAGCCGCCGCATCCCGAGAAGGACTTCCATGGAGGAACGAGCTAGCCGGGCACAGAAACGGGGGGGGGGACGCGGGTCAGCGTTCGGGGCGCGGGGCTGGCAGACTCTCCCAGAGCCGGGCATCCCACCTTCCTCTCCGGCTTCCCGGGCTTGACGAGGAGCCGCTGCGGCAGGTCCAGCATCCGGTTGGGACAGATGCTGTCGAAGGCCCGGCGTCCGGCCGCGCTGCCCTCGTACGCCTGCATCCTGGGGATGGAGACCCGCACCCAGCGCGGCTGCACCTGTTGGGGCCTGAGCTGGGGCGACGGCGCGCGGGAGGAGCGGAGGGAGGGCCCCGAGCAGAAGCGCGGCGCGGGAGGGGCGGCTCGCGCCTGAGCGCCGGAGGTGGCGCCTTCAGCCCCGGACAATCTGCGCGCCTGCGGAGGCGTTAACCAACCTGGCAACCCAGCTCCCCCGGGAGCTGCGAGCGCGGGGCCAGGGCCCGCGAGCGCCCTTTGGCGCCAGAGCCGGGCTAAGGGGGGAGGGGGAGGAGAGGGAGGGCGGAGGCCACCGGTCCTAAGCTTCCAGCAGGGATGAGAAAGTTAACGAATCTTTGGTTTTTCTTTTCCACCCCAGACACGAGGCACACAATGAATGTGGAGTGACGGTCGCCAAAACCGTACTCGGAGAATTTACCCAGCAGGTTCTGGTGGGGAAATAGAGGGCTTTCCCGGGCCAGCCCCCGGATTAGAGCAACTGCCCTCAAATCTGAACAGCATTTCGGATTTTCAGCAGTGTGGATTTGTGGATTTCATTTGGGTTCCCATCCTTGCCTACTGCCAAAAGCTCCGCTCTGCACCCCAGCCTTGCAACTTCCCCGGGAACAGTGCGCACATTCCTTCAAGGATTAAAAAAAAAAAAAAAAGTGACAATGCTGAGGCAAAAGAATTGCTGCGAGTTCGAGACTAGCTTGGGCTACATACTGGCTCCTAGGCTAACCTGAGCTAAAAGACTGTCGGCGGAGGGGGAGATACTTACTCCAGTTTCTGAAAAACCCTACTGTGGACATTTCCAACCCCCCTAAAACCCTAATGGCTTAGCTGGCTCTCTCAGCATTTGGCTGTCTTCTTTATAGCTGTACCCGCCACCCCCTCTGAGCAATTTCTTCAAGTCAGCCCTCTCTCTGGAAGGGCTATTAGGATTGGGTCTATTAGAAAGAGACGTCTCTCAGAATGAAGCATCTTTGGGTGAGGGGACCTTTTCAGGGAACCACCCAGATCAGTTCAATGTAAAAATAAGCATCAGAAATTGGAGTCTGTGCACCCTTCTGCTGGGCTCCTTCCTCTTGCCTTGCATCTAGCAGCACAAGGGAAAGACCTTTTCTTTGCACCCATTAGCTGAATTAAGAGATTCCCAGCAGTGTTGGATGACGGCTGGATAGACTCAGAGACATCTATTTACAGGAACTGAGTCGAGGTGCACATCTGGGCCTGTGAGGTTGGGGGGGGGGTGTGCAGCTGTGGTTTCTACGACAATGCACAAGGGTGGAGACTGGACCCCTCCAGACCAAACTCTGCCTTTGAGAAAAACAGTAGCGCCCACCTCAGCAGAGTTTCGAGAGGCTGGCTTATGTACAGTGGCTGGTACTTAGACAAATCAGGTCTTTTCTTTTAAAGCAGCCTTTTCAGCTATCTTCCAGCTCCCTGCTGCCTGCCACTGGCTCTGCTCCTTATTTCAGGAAAATTTAGGAAGTATCTATGGAAGTGTCAGAGGGGACTGGACTGTTAAACACTAGTGAAGGTAACCCCCAAAGCTGCTTCCTTCCACAAGCCTCCCCTCCCCCCACCTCACCTCAACTGAGGGCCCCGATAGTTAAGTTAGAGAGGCGACACTCCCCTTTCACTACCACAGAGAAGTGTTCTGCTCCCAAGCTCCCAAGGAGTGAGCTCTAGCCAGCCTATCAACATCGAGAGGAGCCTCCCATCCCCACCCTGGGGGACCCTTAGTAAGGTCCAGTCTCGGGAGGGGGGGGGGAATGCAGAGGCTCTGCATTTTAAAGTTTGCTTTTTATCCACCATACATTGACACTCTAAATTCAGAGGGGCAAACTGGGATTTCTTACCCAAAACTAGGTTTTTCTATCGCACAAATACAAAACTTTTTGAGGGGGGGGGGGGAGACCAAAACCCTCAACACAATGAGCGGTGTTCACCCTGCTTAGGTTTGTTTTCCTGTATAACCTCTCCTCCGACAGCTGCGCAGGGCGGGGCTGTTGCTTCTTGAGGGTTCTCTGTGCTTGGGATGGGGACTCAGAACAGCCACACTGCAACTCTAAGGACGGCTGCCATTATCCCGGTTTTAGAGATGAGAAGTGGGCCCAAGATCTAGCAAACTGGCTCCACCACAGAAAGCACCTCGTTGACACCTGACCGTGAGGTCCACTGGAAGGTGCGGTGGAGTTGAATTTGCTGCAGGTGGTGCTGAGGGGCGGGGCCTACAGCTGATTAACGACAATGGACCCGAAGATATTGTGGCACGTGCAGCCCGGGGAGCTTACTGCTTCCCAGACCAAGTTTTCCTTCTGTAATGGGATTCTCCTAGCGAGGCTGGAAGCAAAAACAAAACTGAATAGAGTGCTCCAGAACTCCACAAGGCAGTGCGGGAAGAGCGAGTGTGAGGTGCCTTCTACAGAGAGGGGGCTTAAGAATGTCCAGGAACATAAACGGGAGAGCTCAGAGCGGTGTTGCTAAGGGTAAGACAGATCACATCACCTCCAAGCCCTGTGACCCGCGGTCATCCTCTGGAAAGGTGGGACAGGACTGCTTCATGGAGGCGTGAGATAAACGTTAGGCACATACGTTGCAAGGAGTCAGTATATTCTTTATTACTGTCGTGCGGTTGTCACCCTGGGCTCATGCAGCAGTGTGAGCTGAACCGGGTAGAACTTCCGAGGAAATGGCCCAGGTTGCAACAGCTGCAACAGTATGCAAAAACCTCCCGACGTTTCTTGGGTTGCACCAGGGATTCTCTCTCGATTCGCCCACTGCTAATATGCCTGCCTGGGCCGCAGAGCTTCGCGGAGGCACAGCTCCGCGTCGGTGAGTGCAGCCTTCCAGACAGCAGACTGCGGTGACTTCTGACTCTGCCTCATGCTCCTTGGGTCACTGTGTGGGGGAGGGGCTCAGCCTCCTGACTGGAGGGGATTCAGACACGGACAAGCAACTTTGACTTGTCTGATTCCTGGAACTGTGGCACATAAAATCTCCCCAGGTCGTTCTCACAGAGCTAACTACAGAGTGAAGTTGTGGGAGCAAGGGAGAGCTTCTGAAATTGGCAACCACCCTGACCGACTTCACCCGTGAAGGGCAGACACATCCTCAGTAGCATTTTCAAAAGCCAGGAGGACTGTCGCCCTGCCCTCGTGTGCTGCAAAATAAATAAACTAAGAGGTTCCGTTATTGTACACTATTTACAAGTAGGAGTCCTGAACTTGTCTTTGGAGCGAAGCTGCACACTCCCCTGAAGGCGCAGAGCCGGGGCGGGGCCGCTAAAGGGAGCTCAAGGTGTGCTGTTCATTTCCAGCTCTGGGGCAGGCTGCACTTCTCCCAGATCTGGGGGGGGCAGCATGTGAGTCAGGGAGGTGCTGTTGAGGGACACCAGCGTCTGCAGCTTGCCCAGACAGTCTTGCAGCGCCGCCTCCGGGTGCTCTCCCAGGCGGAGGTCCAGCGGGTGCGGACGCAGCAGCATTCGATCAGCCAGCGCCAGGCAGCAGACGGCCAGCAGGGACGGCGTGTAGGTGCTGAAAGCGTAATCGGCCAGGCTCAGCTCGGCCACTTCCCGGGCCAGGCTCTGGGCTTCTAAAGCCTCCGTGACCTCGGCCTGACCCGCCTCCACGCGCGCGTGAGTGAAGTGCTCCAGGAAGAAGTTGATGGTGGGTGCGCCCAAGCTGAAGTGCAGCTTGTGTAGCACGATGCACTCGAGGTTACACAGCTGCTGCCGGGAGAAAGCGCCTCCGCACAGGGCCAGGAGCTGCTTCACTCGGGGTGGGTGCACCTCCACCTGCAACCAACGCAGAGCGTACTCAGGTTCCGGCCTGCTGGCTTCCCGGGCCCCTGGCCAGCTCAGCCTCAAATCCCGGAGAAAACCGAGACTTGACCCCTGTTACCATCCCCCCTTCCATACAAGCTTCACCTTTCCACGAGTCTACCCTCAAACCGCAAACGGCTGCTTTCAGTGCAGCTTCTCTCTCTCTACAGAGACGGGGGGGGAGGGGGCAATTTTAAAAGCATGTTTGCCAGAGACAAGTGCCACAAAGCTTTGGGCTACAGCCTGTCTCTCTGCGGCCTGAAAGTGTTGTTACCAGAGTTGAAAAGACACCAAGTTAAAGCTACGACGCGTTAAGACCTTTGAGCATCTGCCAAGATGTGCCTAAGCCATGCCCGAACGAGGACGGGCTGACTGCAGACACCGTCACACCCTAGGCCTGGCGGAGGAGGTACCTGCTTGCAAGCGATGAGCAGACAGGTGACCCCGAGCAGCTGGAAGCAGTCTGCAGCTACCGGGGTCGTGAGGAGGAACCGGTCCAGGGTATTCACCGTCAGGCACAGCGACTCGAAAGAGAGGCCGAACTGGCGGTGGACCGGCAGGAGCCAGCTGAGCAGCTTGCAGCGGGATTCTGCAGTCACCTGGCGGGAGGGAGAAGGGGAGAAGCGTGCTGCAGCAAGGGGCCAAGAAAATCCACGGAGGCGGAGAGGACAAAAACTAAATGAAAAATAGAAAACACGTGGCTGAGACCAGGCGCCCCCGAACGCCCGGGCTCGCGCCTGGTCCTGTCCACAGCGCATTAGGCCTATTACCCGGTCTAAATCCTCTCAACAAGTCAAAGGGAAAGAAGGGGGGTGAGGGGGCGGGGCGAAGTTTTTGTTGTTTTCAGATGTACAGACAAATTCGGGAGCCCGAGCTCTCATCTAGAAATCGTCGGGCTCTGCGCATTCTGATAAACCCCTCCACACCCCCCACAACTACCGTCCAGACTATCCGGCCCCGCCCCCCTGCACACACTCTTCTCCATCTTAATGGGTGAGGTCGGCGGCCCGGTCGCCTCCTCTGCTCCTACGGACGGGCAGAGAACGGGCTGCACCGACTAGGGCGCAGCAGACGCCGGGCAGACGGCGGCGAGGGGGGTGGGGGGGCGCGCGAGCCCGCCGAGGCCGCGGCGCGACGGCCGGGGGCTGGCCCTAGCCGGCGCCTCACTTGCGGCTGCTGCGCCAGCGCCTCCCGCGGGTGGAAGAGGCTCTCCTGCGCCCGGCGGAAGTCGTAGCACGTCTGGCCGTAGTCTCGGAAGATCTGGAGGTCTAGCACGGTCAGGGGCCGGGCCGAGCCGAGCCGGGAGCTGCATTCCCGAGCCGCCGGCGCCGCGGGGCTGTCCCCGCCGTCCGAGCCGGAGCTGGGCGACTCGAAGAGGTCGCAGACGCCGGAGTCTCCCCGGAGCGAACACGTGTTGAGCGGCCGCAGCGGCTCCTTCCTCCTCAGGCGCGGGCTCCTGCTCTTCTTCACCGGGGCGCCGAGGTTCTGAGGCCCGGGCCGCCTCCCGGCTCCCGCGGCGGGGCTGGCCGGGCAAGGGGTCACCATGATACAGCCGGGCAGCCGCTCCAGCGTCCACAACGCCCGGGCGCGAGGGCGGCGGGGAAGCTGGGGTCCCGCTGCCGGCGCAGCCCCCTAAGTACCCGGCCTGTGCCTCCCCCCGCCGCCACTCCTCCCCCGGCCTCTCACTGGCTGAGCCCTGAGCCGCCCCTGGGCCGCGCCGCTGCCCGAGGCGGAGCCACTCCCCCCTCGCGGGCCGGCAACGCGTGGCTCCCGCGACGGCGCCGGGGGAGGAGGCGTTGCAACTCGCGCCCCGCACCCGCCTTCAGCCGGGCGCCCCGCGCGCGTCCCGCGTCACCCTGGCAACCGCAGCCCGGGGCCCGGCGCCAGCTGCGCGCGCTCAGGGCCGGAGCGTGAAGATCGCGGGCCACCCAGGTGAGCCGGGGGCTGGCTGAGTGGCTCAGCTACCCCCGGGGGCGGGGGGCGGGAAGGAGGGGGAAAGCTGCTCCGGGAAACCGGGAGCCTTGGTTAGATGGCCCGGCCTGGTGTGAGCCTCTTTTATACCGACCCCCACCCAGGGGGGGGGTCTGCGTCCCAACTTCGGACCAAGACTGGGTTCGATTCTCTATCCCCACAGTTTTCTTCGGCCATCGCTAAAGGGGTTGGGAGTTCATTCGCGCCTGTTTTATATCATCCCGCTGGTCTCGGGGAGCAGGTATTTGTGATCCAGCACCCTAGAAAACTGCCACAAACCACCGTCTCACAGCAAATACGCCGAGGCTGCAGCTGTTGGAGAACCTCGTGCCGCGTTTCTGTCGAATTGCTCACAGCATGTTCTGCTTTGGGTCATTAGCTTACCAGGCTATTTCTTGTCCCCTGGGGAAGGTGTGTGTGTGGGGGGGGGGCAAAGGGATGCAGAGCTGGGGGGAGGGGAGCACAGGCGGGAGGGAAAGAATCTGACACCTACTCCAGGATCAACGGGTTTACTCCAGACACCCGTCCTGACCCAAGCTGGGGTCCTCTGCCCCAATCCTCAGGAGACACTGTAACACTTCTGGAAAAGGGACCCCAGGGCACAAAGGGCTTCTAACTGACTGACCTTGTAATCATTTCCCAGAGGCAAGAAACCTAGATACTCTCGGCCCGAACTTCACAGAAGCCCCCCCCCCCCTCCCATGGATGAGATGTTAGGTGCCATGAAATCTGCACACTTGCCCATCCCCACTTATTCCAAAAAAAGCTGAAAAGGTCTGTAGTCTACGCGTAAATTCTGCCCCCTAGAAACTCGGGAGAGAAGCCAGTGAGGGAGGAGAAGGATGGATTTCAGATTCTCACCCCAGTTTCTATTTTCTGTTATTCTAAAGGAGCCTTCTTCTCCTAATTTAAATCGCAACACCTGTGACACGGATTTGGCTGAGAATCACCTGAGAGGGGTTTTTCCCCCTTGCAAGTGCCTGGCTCTCTGTCTCCTCTCAGGCTTCCCATCATGCCTAACGTGATGGGAAGATCAACCAAATCCACAGAAAAAGGTCAGAAATTTTCAGAGTGTGGGGGAGGGATCCAGGAATTCTCTGATTCTGTGTACTGGCCCAGCCAAAAAGAGCACGAAGGAAACCTGTGGGGGCCAAATGTTCCTTTTTAATGGCGTTCACCAAGATGTTCCTCCGTCTCTACTTCCTGTAAAAGGATAATAATGTTACTTGCCCTGAGGGTCCAGTGACATCGATGTAAAAACTTGAAAGTCCTCCTTTTTGAATGAAAATAGTGAGGCCATCTCGAAGCCGATCTGGAGGAGTCGTCGATGTTGTTATGCTGGGTGCATACTGAAGTTTTACCAGTCGGCCTGTGTGTGGATGTGAGGCGCTGAAGGCCATCCCCATGCTGAAAATACTGTCTTCCCAGGGATGGCCTGTACTTCCAGACACTGCCCGAGTTTCAGCTTCCTGTCCTGTTGGCAGAATGCTAGCAGTGTCTGACACGGGGAGACTGCATGGGCCTCTTTATAGAGCTGGTGGGATGGAACCATTTGTCGTTCTTAAGCACTGAAACGTGATGAGGGTGATAACGGAGAATTCACTGGTTTGAAAGTTGCCAGAAAGTGTGTTTGGGCGGGAGAGACACTAAGATATCCATTTAAATTAAAATGTCAGATAAGCAACAAATGCATTTTTCATCAGGATATCCCAAATATTTTATGAGACATAAGAGAAGAGTGTTTATCTGAAATCCAAATACTACATGGAGCATAACAGCAGACTTATTTATCTGGCAACACAAATCCAACAGGGCATCCTGATAGTTTGGTGGCCTTACCTGGGCGCCATGCAGGGTCACGACAGGGTTGGCAGTGATGTTCTGGAACGGATAATGAAAAATGATGGTCGAACCAAGGTAGGGGAGAAAGGCAGAAGAGAAGAAGAGAAGAGTACTCTAAGTGAAAACTGTGGGAGGAGCTCAAAGCAGAGACTTGGGCCATCTCCAGCGTGTGTTAGGGGCTAAGGAGGAATGGCCATCGCAGAGAAGAGGGGGAAAGAAGCCAGGAGGTTATCGCTAATCATTCCATTCTGTCTTTACAACAAGACAGCTGCTGCTGTTGTGCCCACTCTTCTAGATGAGGAAACGGAGATATACAGAGGTAAAGGTAGAGGGCCTAGGTGGTAAAATTCAGCCTCACTTCTAGATCCGCACTGGACTGCTTCCATAGCAAGCACGTCCAGTGCTTTGTAGCCACAGTAAGAACGTAGGTGTTACGTGAGGCCACTGAAGAGGAGCGATGTCACCGCTGAAAAGGCTACTCTGAGGCTGCAGCTCTCTCTCCGGGGTGCAGAACTTACCTAGAATGTGTGACGCCCTAGGTTCAACCTCCAAGACTGAAAAAAAAAAAAAGCAAAGAAAGGATAGGGAGCGGACAAGTTAAGCATAGTAATTCAAGGAAAAAATGATTCCAACTATATTTAGGAAGTAGATTAAAGGGACCTCAGTGTTAGAGGCTTGGAGAAATCAAGGAAGAGTCCAAGTCTGGCCTATGCACCCAGGCAAGTGAGTGGGTGATTAAAACAAGGAAACCTTCAGAAGTCTGGGTACAGTCGAAAAGAATGCTGCAGTTTTCCAGCCAAGTCTTTTAGCTCAAACTCAAGGAGGACCCAAATACTAAAGGACATACTAATTTTTTAAATGAGCACATGTAAGTAACAAGTGTAGCCGTTTGTTCTCAGTTGCTGCTTAGTTAAAAAATAAAATCCTCAAGGGTTGACTGAATTAACTGAACAGAGACATAGCACATAGCTCTGCAGTGCTTCATGGAATTTAATAGAAAATAAACCCTGAAGGGAGTTTTTTTGTTTTTTGTTTTAAAGAGTTCCACCTCAGTAATGAAGTCTTTCAGCACACGGAAGGGTTTTCTATTTGTTTTAACTTTTAGTACCAGCTGAAACCTCACTTCCAAGTGATTTGACCTGGACATAAGAGCTCCATCTAACAGACCCCTTCAAAGCAGAAGGCTGAAATTTATTCTAAGAGTTCTGCCCACTGCTCCCCAAAAGTGCTCCCATTCTCTAATCCTTGGGGTTTCTGGTGCTTCCTTCTACAGACAGCAGAAAAGCAAAGACTCACAGCCCCCCCCCCCCCCCCCCCCCCCGTACTCCCTTCCTCCACTCCCTGAATGGTAGCTGTACCTTGGCGGCCAACATGACAGCCTCAGGCCATACTCCCATTCCTCCACTCCCTAAAAGGTAGCTGTGCTCATTGTTAAAAGCAGTGTTGACTTTCACTGACTTATTAGCTCATTCATCAAGTATTTATTTCTACTAGTGTCAGTCATTTTTTCCTTCTTTAAAAAAATAAATTTTATTACATTTATTTATGTGGCGTTGGTGCCCGAGTACCATGGTGTGTGGTTGGAGTCAGAGAACAACTTGAAGAAGCTGTTTCCTTCTTTCTACCATGTCAATCCTAAAAGCTGAACTAAGGCCACCAGGCTTGGGGCAAGGACCTTTACCCACTAACTCATCTCATCCGCCCATTTTTCTAAGCCCAAGGACTATATCATTGACTAAAACAGGCCAAATTTCCAAATTTTTTACTCTTAAAAGTTCATTTTAGCCGGGGGCATGCCTTTAATCCCAGTGCTTGGGAGGCAGAGTGAGACAGACCTCTGTGAATTTGAGGCCAGCCTGGTCTACAGAGCTAGTTCTAGGACAACCAAGGCTACACAAAGAAACCCTGTCTGGGAAAAAATAAATCAGTAAAAGTTTTAACTTTGGAGGAGTAGACAAAATGACCAAGTAATATTTAAACATATTTAATATTTTTAATAAAGGAGAGGGAAAGAGGAGCAGCAGAACATGTGGAGTATAGGAGTCTTAAATTGTCATAAAACCCCTCACCAAACAAGTGACTTTGGAACACAGGCCTAAAAGAGTTGGGTGTGAAGCCCGTGTATATTATGGGGAAGGAACATTCCGGGGAGAGAGCAGTGTAAACAGGCCAGGAGCCAAGAGCTGGCCTGGAGTAGAGTAATGGGTGGGGAAAATGGGAGGCACCAGCACAGAGGTTCTGACAAGAGACACCTAGGTTCTGAAAATAAAATATATTATCACAATTAAGCTTGTTCTGTTTCCTCTTATAAATATGGTTTCTAGAAACTTTAAAATTACGTGTGCGGAGCTCAGTGAAATGGCTCAGTGGCTAGACCTGCTTGCCTTAAAGCCTGAGTTCAGTGCCTGGAATCACATAAAGGTAGAAGGAGAGGACCAACTACACAACACTGTGGTCCCCATTCACATACACACGTGCACATCATATCCATACAATAAAAAATATGACTCTCATCATATGTCTATGTGTAGCGTTGTTCATGACGTTAAAGCCAGCCTGAGAATATGCACAGGTGGTGGAGAAAGCACGGAGAGAAAGATGCTGCCGAAATAATCCAGGTGAGCGGGTGGTGGCGGCGCACACCTTTGCTCCCAGCATGCAGAGGCGGAGGCAGGAAGACCTCTGTGAATTTAGACCAGTCTGTAGACCTCTGTAAACCAGTCTGGTCTACAGAGTGAGTTCCAGGACAGGCAGGGCTACACAGAGAAATCCTGTCTCAAAAAAACAAAACAAAACAAAAAACCCCA